AAAACGAATGAAAAGTTAAATTAAACATGACAATATTTCCTCTCAGAATTCTCAAAATTATGAGAAAGTGAATGAACTTAAAAGAAAAATTTAGATATGAATATCAGATATCCCTGTCAAAAGAAATGGTGAGGTGCTGTCTAGGAAACAGACCCTCAGTGCTTAATTGAAGGGAAAACTTAGATCACTAGAAGTATTGCCTATAATTGTTGATGTGTCAATAGCCGCTTAGACAGAAATTCAAGCTTTATTTACTCTGGATCGACTCAGATTTTCTAATTTTTCCTCTGTCGCTTTGCCATTTAAGCTTTACCCGCAAGTATCAAAGACAGACTTGTCGAAGTACCTACAAAAGAAAAATACTTGTGTCTTATTTTCGCATTACTTTATCATGTTGTGGACAAACGTTTGGCCCCTCTAATTTTCTGTCTGGGGTTTGAAACTCTAATCGGGTTATTAACTGAGATTTCAAAGGTAGAAAATATGGCTCCTGTCAGACGAGCGGACCCCTGAGGTCAGCCAGAATTGTTGGTGGTCTGTTGATTATGCACGTCTCGCAAGCGATTACTAGTAAGACCGTTTCCCAGGGCGCGTCATGAATCTGGGCGTGTGCCAAAAATGACCAATTTTAACAGAAATCTATACATGCCAATTATTACTCAGTTGTAAGACTGGCCGCTAGAGAGTAGGGCTTTTAAAATCAGGTTTTAAATAAGTTAAATGGAACAACGCTTTAGAACAATGCTTAGCAAGTTCGATTCACAGACGATTGTTCGATTTTGACTTCATATCCCACTGTTGTGGCCTTGTGCCAAACCAAATTAAACTTCCTAGTGGAGAAAAAATCAGGATGTTAAACATGCTAACTATTACTACTGTAGAGAATTCGTTCCTTTCTGGGTGTCCTACACTTGTAAGATTTTATACTACAACAAGCAAAGCTGATCTATATTCTTCATAATTCCCGGACATGATGAGTTTAACCTCAACCCAAGAAAAATTAAGGTTAATTCTATGCTTACGATGGAAATCAATATTCGAATTCCTGGCTTTTAACTGGGATCGATTTGATTGTTTTTTTTTTACGGTTTATTAACACTTTTAAGATTATTTAAAGTTAAAACGTATTTTGACATTTTAAGAACTGATACAAGTTTTCTGATACAAGTTTTGCTATTTAACCCATAACTGGGAGGAGAAGAGTTAGATTAATACATTTCCCAAGAGTATTTGCACGTAAGTGGATGTGACGGACCCGACTGGAATACGAGCCGTTATCTATTACATCACCCACACATCGGAGCTTAAAGCATCTGGTATTTACGAGCGGTTACATATCTAGGTACAAACCAGGTTCAACATTACTTAACTTCGGTTATCAGATGACAACCGGTGTTTCAACGTGATATGGCCATAATTCTACGCTCGAACACCAACCAATGAGAAAGAAAGAACAATCCTCATGTATACTATTTACATTATTCGGACTATTGTCCTCATTTTTGTTGCGATATTTATCACAACGTTTCGGCCGTTGTACACTCCGGCCTTCTTCTGAACCCTTTATTTCGCTCGCTGGGTTAGACTGTTCTCAAGGACACATGGCACAATGGATAAAGGCGTTAGTTAGATCCAGTGGCAGGACCCAATGAGTGTGAGTTCAATACCTAATTAAGGCGGTGGAGAACTTGGAGAGGGGAATTAACAGGAGATAACTGATAACTGACATCCATTAGACATGGCACGTAGAACTAGAACAGTCTACCCCAGTGAGCGAAATAAAGAGTTCAGTTCAACATTTCAACCACCTGAAGAAGGCCGGAGCCTACAGCGGCCGAAACGTTGTGGTAAATATGGCAACAAAGATGAGGACACTAGTCCGAATAATGTAAATAATGTACATAATACCTCATCTCAGAAATATAGACAAATCCTCATGTATCTATTTATCCGTCTCCCCACGATGGTGTGACGTGACACAAGGTCGGATTTAATGTGAGGCACCCGAGCGCGTACACCCGGGCCACGGACAAAAATTGCCTAGCCTCCGAAACCCTCGTTTGCGATGACATCGACATGACTACCGACCCGACGAAGGAAGCATTCTTGATGTAATGTCAAACTCTACATTGAGCTTGGATGTGCGCGTATTGTAACGGTCACTGATGCGGAAAATGGGATCAGTAAACAGGGTTCAAATACCATCCAATGCTGTTGCATTCATTTTCGTACAGATAACCTTGAGAAAAGTATGAAACCCAGTCTTCTCTCTTCATTCAAGGATTAAGTAGCTAGGTAGATTGGGTTTTCTAGCCTTGATTGGCAACCACTGTAAAGGAATTAAAACTTTGAATTCGAAAACTGCGGAGAAGGCAACGGGAACCTGCATATAAATTGCGGTGTGTCCTGATCGTCAACGCCCCGATGGGTCATGGTATTTAAAATAACAAAAAAACAACAACATTGAGCTACGAAAAACAGCGGCTTTGGTTCTTTACATTCATTAAACCCATGAATGGGCTGAGATTTGAGCTTCTTAACGTCATTATGTGACTCAGATGTGACAGATTTGGTCTGTGTTAAAGTGTGTTACCAATTCTTCACCTAGAAAGAAGAGATTAAATAAATGTCGGTTTGGAGAACTGAAATCAAAAATCAGATCGCTATAAAAATATATTTTCCAGCTGAAGACATGAACGAGGCTGATTATAATGGTATCCAACATCACTAATTCAGAAATAATTACGATATCAAATTGTCAAACAAAGCAACACTTCTGTCCAAAAGGTTCTATTTCTTCCTCTCCACCAAGCACACAGGGGCGCCTACACCTATGCTGGGTAACGAAAATCTTCATTCGATTAAGTAAAAATAAAAATGCAATTTGCTTTTCAACATCTACCTTATTGAACAATACAATTATTATTTTCTTTGTCTTCTGCTATATTTCGTACAACTTCCCTCTCCTGAACATTTTATCATTCTCAGAAAAAAAAACAAATACTCCCAAGTGCCTTTTGATGTCTTCTGGAGAAATGAATTTTAGAATAAGTGGTAATCAGAATTTGCAAGATCTAAAATCACAGAAAACTTCCCATACAAGCTGTAACAATTTTGATATGGTTACCAAGCATAGACACTTTGACATTATTCTAATGGAACATTCCGCCATTAATATGAAATATTACCGTGAGCCTTTTGTCGACTGCTGTAGTCAATTATTCTGAGAGCAGTACTTTTCCTTTACAATACCATAACTTAAACAAACACACATTTTGGTGGAGAAGACCGATTTTAGTCCAGTTTGTGGTGGTTCATTTTGCGAAACCCACAATCTTTTGTGATCAGTATTGATGTAACGCATTTGTTTTTTTATCATAGGATACAATTTAGTATTTAAACCGAATAATATAATTAGGTTTAAGCTGCACATCGTATCCGGAAGCAAAATATCAAAGCGGTGAACTTGATGGAAATGTTAGTTATCACCAAATCGTTTAACATTGATTATTCTCAGGTATACGCGACCGTCGAACATTAAGCCAGAAACCTACACCAATAAATTTCAAAAACCACTCTTGAAACGTCCGATCATTCCAATATATATATATATATATATATATATATATATATATATATATATATATATATATATATATAATAATAATAATAATAATAATAATAATAATAATAATTCAATGAGTCTAAAACAAGAATACACAAAAGAATGCAGAAAATAATGAACAGCCGTTTTGCTCTTTTTCGGACTAATCAGCAGTGTGCATTCACTACGGAGAATCGAACCTGGACTCTTAGGCAAGCATCATACCACTGGGCCAGCGGGCCTCTAATTTGACTGAATATAGTGCAGCTATATTCTGTCAAGATATATATATATATATATATATATATATATATATATATATATATATATATATATATATATATATATATATATATATATATATATATATATATATATATATATATATATAGAGAGAGAGAGAGAGAGAGAGAGAGAGAGGAACTTAATGAATAAAAGGAGAAAGAGAAAAAAATATTCGCATTTTGTCCTTGAGGGACTTTATCAAGTGTGCCTTGATAAAGGCCCTCACAGAAAAAAACGCGTCAGCTAAGAATAGTTTTTCTTTTTATCTTTTTTATTCATTCATATATATATATATATATATATATATATATATATATAACAAGTTTTGAAATACGGATCATAATTTAATATTTAGCGCTATTTAATCAATTACAATCATTATAACCTCGATTAAGATCGAATAAAATAAATATAACTTAAAGCGCTTTTCGACTGACATTTTGTCAGAAGTCAATCGTCGAAATTAAAAAAGTCATGGATTCTTTAAATAAGATCTTAAAAGAAAACAGAGGGCGAATATATAAAGCAGTGGTTCATGGGAAGATATTTTTTAATTGGAAAATGTTTCTTACCATAAAGAATGAAGGTGATTCAATTTCGTGGAAGTCTGAACAGGTGACACTAAAGAATGGATTGCATCTGAACATTTGTCATGGAAGTTTCGATAAGGCTAGCGAAAATGTAGTAGGAAAGATGTCATCCTGCACAAGGCCGCGTAAACGAATTTGAACTCTGTAAATCCTGTAAAGTGAAGCTTGGGCCTTTTCAAGCGAGATATGCCCTAACAAGTTTCATTAAAAAGAAGCGACAAGGCTTGTTTCTTCATTTTTTATTGTATTTTTCAAATTTTCGGATAATGTGTTGAGTATTGTACGCGAAGTTGTGGATAAACTGTACGAAGTTCATATTTTGTTATTTTTGTTCAAGTTCTTACAACTTTCACAGTTATTATCAAGAACTGATGTGGTGTCTGTATGGTAGTTAGAATTCTTTTTTCAACATCCTGTTATTCCTTGAGAAGCTGGACGTTTGAAATGGTCTAGCGTGACGTCATGTGTAACGGCTATTGAAAACCCGAGCGTATATGAATCGATGAAATGATTAGATTCAGATTCACAAAGCTAACAGAATTTTCCCTATCAACTCCATTATCTATCTATCTATCTATCTATCTATCTATCTATCTATCTATCTATCTATCTATCTAAATCTGTTCGTATATATCTATATATCTATCTAAATGTGTTCTTATATATATTTCTAATTCTTTTCTTTATCTATCTATCTATCTAGCTAGCTAGCTATCTATGTCTTTTCATATCTATTGTAGTCTGTTCTTATATGTGTATCTGTCTATGTCTACCTGGCCTGGACATATTGCAGAGTTTTAATACCTAGTAAGATTGTCTACCAGATCTTTAAGATTGTTTATTGCGTTAGATATTTGGTGCGTACATCTTCCTGGAGTTCCAAAACCAAAACTATGCCAAATTCAAGATCTGCCAATAATTATCGCAGGCAACAGGCATAATAGGACGCTAAAAAGGTTTCGGTCTCAGACACTAAAATCTGACCAAATGACCAAACATCAGATGGGGAAATACTTCTTTGTCGAACCGAATAACTTTTCAGCACTTTGGCATTGCCGACAAAGTTAACCTGGCCGTTGGTTTCGAAAAGGACCCCCAATCTTTGGTTGACTGGAGCAAGAATTGGCTTGAAAACTTTAATGCCTCTAAAACGAAATTGCTTTCATTTCCCCACCATAGAGAAACCTCCCTGCCTCCTATCAGCATGTCTGATGCTCAGCTTCACAGGACCGTCTCTCTGCGCCTTTTTAGTCTCACGTTTTCCACTGACCTGAGGTGGAAATACTATATTGAATCAATAGCTACATCTAACGCAAGGAAAGTTGGTCCTCTGTGGCACCAGAAGGTTTTTTCTTGTTTGAGTCCATCATTCACATCTACAAATCTACCATTCGTCGACACATGCAATACTGTTGCCATATATGGTCTGGTGCCCCCGCTGTTCATCTCGAGGTTCTCGACAAAATCCAAAGACGGATATGCAATGTGATCAGTCCTGACCTGCAATTCTTTGTGTGCTAGTGGCACTCTCGACTTCCTTAGGGTGAAATGCTTAAAAAAAAAAAAAAACTTAAAATATGTGATTCATGTGACGTAGTGCCAAACATCCATGTTCCAATGTGATCAGTCCTGACCTGGCATTTCGATTCCAGTCATTTTCTCACAGACGTGATGTTTCTTCCCTCTGTCTTTTCTGCAAATATTTTCATGGTAACTGTTCTGACGAGTTATTTTCACTAGTGCCCCAACTGCATGAATTTAAGCGTGGTACTAGGTTGGTATCTCGTCCAACCCTTTTACTGTCGAAACAGTTAAATCTAACTACCTCTTATACAGCTTCTTCTCTCGCACTTCCCAACAGTGCAACACCCTTCCTCTTATTTGATTCCCGAATAACTATAATCTTCAAAAATTTAAATATAATGTCAATTGACATCTTCTGATGCCTTGATCTTGATCCCCATCCTTTATCCTTTCCTCAAGCACCACTCTTTTCTCTTACTTTCACTATCTGTAAAACCTTTTGTGCTAGTGACACTCTCGACTTGCTTGGGGTGAAATGCTTAAAAAAAACTCCCTCGTTAAACTTAAAAAATGTGATTCGTGTGACGAGGTGCCAAACTTCCATGTTCCAATATCGATGTTGCCCGGTCCGAGTGACGTGCAATAAACGATGTTGTGGTGTCATTCACGGTATCTGTGTTAGTAGACTACAGATCTCCGTGGAATGCAAAATTTGATGTACAATATGTTGAGTAATGTGTTGAGTGATGCCGGCATTTTACTGAGATGTGATTTGATGTCAAGTTCCTTTTCGTTAGGTGATATCTCGTCACTTATAGTTTTTACATCCTGCTGATTTTTGTCCGGAATTTACATATCCTTAATAGACACATGGTACTGTTTCTCTAGGAAAATCAAAAAGTAGTTGCCACTTCGAAGCTAGAGGTGAAAGCATTTGGACTTCAATATTCACACCGCAGTCAAACGTTGTTAAATGCTGGACATGGTTTTAATACCAGAGATACATTACATCTTTACCTATTACGTCCTATATTTATCATACAGGTGAGTCTATTCCTACAAGTAGGTTGGATGTAAACATTTAATGAACTGATATCTCTATTTTTTTGGCACTTCAATTTAGATAAACAGAAACATGGATTTGCCTATATATATATATATATATATATATATATATATATATATATATATATATATATATATACGTTCGTGCGAGTGTGTGTGTGTGCGAGCGCGCGCGGATATATCATTCGTCTGTATGGCCCTTAAATGTTTTGTTTAGCATTTTAGTCAGCTTTGTTCCCAGTCTTTTCATCCTCCGCCGTGTATTCACTCAAATTTACGAGCACATTGTTCAATTTTATGGCGTGGGATGTTGTTGTTCTGACTAACAGGGACAATTCAGGTCTAGTGGCACTTAACGTTTTTGGAACTTATATATATTTTTATTTGACTTACTAAATCCGAACAAAGGCTTCGTTCATCGTTGTATCATTCAGGAAACATCTCAAAGCAATCGGCGACCCATTGCGGCTATCGTTTGTGGTTGATACCTCGTCAAGAGGCATAAACTACACAAGTACCTCTTCAAGAAATAAAAAATATATATATAGAATGTTCAACAGCAAATATGGATATCATTAAAAAAATACATACACACACTGATATATATATATATATATATATATATATATATATGAACGAAAACTGTTTTGATCAATCATAATATTCTACACAGATTCTACGTCTACGGAGAAATGAATTGAAAAGGAAATGTAGAGGAAGAACAGCGTAAAAGAAAGAAAGAAAGAAAGAAAGAAAGAAGGAAAGAAAGAAAGAAAGAATGTTGTAGGGAATAAAAACAAAGAAGATTAAAGAAAGTAGAAAAAATAAATAAATGAAAAAATAGATATAGAACAAAGAAAGAAAAAGCAAGAATGAACAGTCAATCCGACACTCACATCGCAATCCCACCCACCTCAGATTTAATAGCATAATTATCTCCCTTTGATGTTTGACATCAAACATTCCGTTTAACCATTTGCTTTCCTCTATACTGCAGGTGTGTCCGGAAGCAAGTCAATAGGGTCTGGTTTCTTAAAGGTCACCATGAAACATTATTACGACGTGTTCGATAGTGTAACGTCTCCGCAGGGGACAGTACCATCAACTTCTGATGTGACTCGGTCTATTATTTTAACAAGTACGATCAAGCGATTTTGCTAGGCTTAAATTACAAGTAGGCTGACACACACACACATATATATATATATATATATATATATATATATATATATATATATATATATATATATATATATTTCTGATGTAACGGTTACAGCATCAAACATCTCTCTCTCTCTCTCTCTCTATATATATATATATATATATATATATATATATATATATATATATATATATATATATATCGATAGATAGATATACGGGGTGCTGAAAATTTTCAGTCCAACAGACTTCCCCAAATCATTATTCTGATGTTTTGTTATGAAAATATTGAATATGGAAAATTACCTGAACGGAGACATTTTCCCGCAGCACGCACACACACACACACACACACACACACACACACACACACACACACACATATATATATATATATATATATATATATATATATATATATATATATATATATATGTGCATGTGTTTGGAATCCGTGACATTCTATAATCTTTATCAGACCTTCGTCCATTTATGTCGCTTTTACTATTCAGTCGACGATTTTAAAATTACTGCAGCTGTTTGCTATCTATCTCATATATATATATATATATATATATATATAGATAGATAGATAGATAGATAGATAGGTAAAAGAGAAAAGTTTTTCTTTGCAAATGTGATTTTATTTTTAACTTTTTTGTAAATTTTCTCTCTACTTTAGTTCGATGTAGAAATACTGATACGCAGAATTAAATTGAGGGAAAATATTATTAAGTTTTACGTTTTTTACACACACACACACACACACACACACACACACACACACACACATAATTAATTTATGGCCAAATCCAAAGTACGTCAACTAACCTGTTGAAAATAAGCGAAGTTTCATGTATGACGTCGTGAGCAGGCATAAATAGGAAGCATTATTTTCGGAACAACCCCTGTCTATAAATACAAGAGTCAATGATGTAGTCTGATTCGTACTCATCAGCTGAAATTGATTGAATTTTCACCTGGAATTTTCAGCATCTATCATTTGTGTGTGTCACATTCACCACTGCATTAATTACGTTAACAAAGAAGATTATGTTGAAAATATAAATATTTGTTGCATAAAATAAATACCTTTTTTTTAATAATTATGCTACAGACTTATTGATGTATTAGTAAATAAGCAACATCATGTTGCTAATATTGGGTTGGAACAAAATTTATAGGTTTTTTTGTGAATTTAAAAATAATATTCAGATATTTTAAATACATTTATTCAATCACGTATATTCCATATTGTTCCACTTCCTTTCGATATCTTGGAGGCAGCTTCATGATTCCATCCTCCTAGAATTTGGCATCTTCCTGGATAATGAACAGATGTAAGTAGTTCTGACAGGCTTCCAGAGAATTGAAGTTTAGAGAAATTAGAGAATTTTATAGGGATCGAAATAAATGGTAATTCGAATGCTGAACGTTAGGTGACTACAGCGAATGTAGTACGATATTCCAGCCAAGCTCTACCAGTTTCTACGGGGTCTTCAAATATCTATGAGGTCGGATGATGAAAGACGACACCCTCACGATTGACCAATGCTAGTCACTCTTTATCGACTGTCGCATTTAATCAATCCAACCAGGAACAGTATTGTCTGAATGCAGCATCAGGTTTTGCGGATGGAAATCCTAAATCGCAATACCTTTCCAATTCTACCAGATACAGGGCATTTCTTTCTTGGGAATCAGACTGTCTTTTGGGGTAGTTAACAATGATTCATTTCGCTTTCCCCCGGAAACTTTTCGCTCCACATTG